TGATAGAACAAAACACATAGATGTCAAATTTCATTTTATAAGAGACATTATAGAAAAGGAGATCATAAAAATTGAAAAGATTTCCACTAAGTGTAATCCAGCAGATATGGGAACAAAAATACTTTCTGTACATAAATTTAGGGATTGTTTAAATCTCCTAAATGTTATTTCTAACTGAAATTTCTTTTACAGGTACATAGAGCATATGATATCAAAGGAGGAGTTAACCTCTAGTCCACAATGAAACCCAAAGGTGTCAAGCAAGGTGGAGATTGTTAAGAATAATGCTTAACACCTTCAGGCCCAATGATGAAACCCAATAGTTGAACCCAAGTTTGTTTGTGACCCGGTTTGTCCCCACTTGTGTAGACTTGTACTTCCTCTAAATGCGACTTTAGTTTTTTTTAACTGGATGGATCAGATGGTGCCAGGTGTAGTCGGCTGAACCGTTGGATGCAAATAACTTTTCATTATACTTAGCCCTAGACTTTTCACTTACTGTCATTCGAGAGACTTCTAGGGTTATCTTCTTCATTTGTTTTCTGTAATTTTCTCTCTCTAAAACTTCTAGTTTTTGGGTTGTAATATCTGAATCATTAGATGTTCTTGGTGAGATCTAGTTTCATGTACTTGGTGTAGAGATTATATCCGTTCTTGGTTGAACAGTGAGGTTCGATTACTTGGTGTAATCTGTTTGTTCGATTCTGTGAGGGGAAAATAGGGTTTGAGGGCTGATCTTTTTAGATCTGTGGTTTGTAAACCTTGTACTGATATTCTATTACTGGTTTCTAGTGGATTAGAGCATTAACCATTTTGGTGGAAGCTCAACGTGGTGACATAGCCCATTTTTGGGTGAACATCCGGATCTACGAGCAAAAAATCCTTGTGTTCTTTTATTTTTTCTGTGTTTTTCTTGGATTATTGGGATTGCTAATACCAACAGAAGTTTCTTTCCTCATCAAATTGTTTGTGTCAAAAGCAAGTATTGGGTTATGAATTTGAAGTCTACACTTTTGTCAATTTCTTGCAAAAGATTCGTCTGGATTTTAAATGTACAATTACGGAGTCTTGTGATCATTGGTAATAAAACTCATTCATGTAAGAAATTTCATCTTTAAGGATGCAGGGCTCAAGTTTTATTATTATGTGGTGTGTACGAATCATCTGATGTTGGGACATGATAGTTTGTTTAGACTAATGAGCCAAGTGATGTCATAGGCAGTTTGCAAGATGGAATGATATCTCAGTGTCGGTGCAGATTATAGTTTGTACCGGTGGTCGCCTTTCGCCATAATGGTTCGTTCTTTTATTCATTTTTTACGGTTATTGCCCTGCTTTTCGGGTTTCGCAAAAACTTTTTGCAGTTTGCTTTACTTGTTTCTTAACTTTCTGCCTAAGATGGTGAAAGTATGTATATTTCTCATGTTCTTACAACAAATCTGCAGTGAGGTTATTGTACTTGGTCCCCATCAGGTGACAATAAACTTCTTGCATCTTTGAGGTTTCTGAACTAATTTGTTGCTAAACTTTGTCTTTCCAAGTTGCTAAAGTACTGTCCATGACTTAATGTTATAGCATAAGATATGTTGACTATTTCTAGTCTGACCGCTACTCTAGATTCATGCACGAGTCTGTATATCTCGAAGCCTCGCTTCAATAGTCCTCATTCGATTCTATATTTTCCTTTTCTTAGCTTAAGCCTCTAATTATGCATAAATTTTTTAGTAGTATTTTAAATGCTTGACTGGTATGTAAGACTCAAACTGGTTGTGTTATAGTATTGCTTAAATATCATTGTCATTTTCTTCATTCCTCATTATTCTTCATGTAAGATCTCTGCAAGGGACATGTAAAAAGCAGGTCCGATTACGCTGATTCGTAATCCTAAATGGAATGGAACAAAGTGTAATTCCATGCTCAAATTATTCCTAACCATTTGGCCAAAATGTGTATAAATGGTTCATCCAATCAGCCCATAATTTTTTGAGAAGAAATTGATACATATTGTTTATATAATGTCAATAAAGAAACCTTAATCTTTCTGAACTATCATAAGAGCCAATCACTTTACAACAGGAGATCAAATTCAACATGTCGATTAAGATCTTGGCACGTATCTGCCAAATTACGATTTTCTTGAAAGTTGATATTGTGATGCATTCTATTTTCTTACATGTTCATCGTGTTTTATAATTCCATTTAGTGGGTCTAGAATTAGAATTCACTCATGCACCCTAAAGTGCTAATTCTTGTTTCGTAATAGTTATTGACGTTGTTTTCACAATTACTTCAGTACATATGGTGAAATTATCTAAGATCCTGATACTTTTGAACTTAGACATATAACAACGATGCTTGTCCTTAATGTAGTTAATCAGTTACTCGTGATTTTCTTGTTAGACTCGATGGATTAGTTTAAGATTTTTGAGTTTGATACGTGACAATTGATGTGCTTGTAATGAATTATGTCTGCGGTTGGATGATTAACTCCCATTGTCCTCGGGGGCTTGCTGGATTGGATTTTGTTATTACTTATTTCTAATGAGAGATTATAAATAATAATTATTTACCAGATCCTGCTTATATCTTATTCTGGTAGAAAATTTTTTATTATTCAGATGACCAGATACGATGGTTGAATAGAAATAGTCTTCTTCTGGGTGGGTTGGAAAAAAAGTATGTTGCCAGAACAACCAGCAACAGGGATTTTTGTAGTCAGTTGACATATTCTTGATTGTAATTAGTTTGAGTCCATGATTATGCATTTTATTAATCATTTTTTATTAAGTAATCTCCCCGTTAAGGCAGGCAACGCATGGATTTTTACAAGGGACAAAAAGCGTGAAATCCAATTACAATGTGAAGAAAAGGACTCAAAATCCATTTTTATATCATAATGCTGTATTGCCTGCTACAGTTGATCCACCCCAAAAGGGGGAAGAAAATGGAAACAAGAGAATGAAATCATGTTGGAATTGGTGTATTGGAATTGGTGTGTTTTTGGGGGGTGGGGTGTGTTTGAGTTGAACAAACTTTCATAATCCAATCCATTGCTTTCAGAGGGACCTTAAACGGACAAAAGCTTCCCCAGAGTGCAAAAACACCTGCTTTTGACATAAAGCCAGAACCAGGAATCTAACAGCCCGTCTACAGTCTTAAAGCCTCTACCTCCATCATTCCTCTTCTACCAGAATCATCAGTAATTTTATTGCCGCCCAAGTAAGGTGGTTTAGCCCCGGCCTGGTACACTCCCTGCCCTGAGACGGCCCACCTTAGCAACTGGCCTCGGATTGTTTTAGATCTGTCGTGCCCACTTCCAAATCGGCTTAGGTTACACTTATATACCACGGTCTAAAGGATGAATGTGGGCACGTTGAGCTTGATTTAAAATGACTTGTGTTGGCTCAAATGAACTTATGTACACTTCTTCTCTTCTATCATGAGAAATTGTTCAATAGAACGGTCTTATATCCACATGTGGTAGGGTGGTCTACTAAAATTATGACACCTTGAACACAAAAATAATAGAGTGGGTGAATAGACAAATTATTTTATATCTACCTTAATTAGTCTTTGATTATTTTAGATTTGTCGAGTTTACTTCAAAATTAACTCAACACATCTCAAGTTACACCTCTATACTACAATATGGAGAGAGAGTAAAACCAGACTCCAAAACACTCGATGTATACAGCAATAATGACTTGTAAAATATTGGAAAATAATTCAATAGACAAATGAATTAATATAACATATGACTCTGTTGTCTCCTGTTTTGAATAACAAGAAGTTTCCATTCCTTTTTTTACAGCTCCTTTTTATGGTAGACAAGATTGAGGGTTACTTTTACAGCTTGTTGTAGTCTTGTCAAGTTCCTTTTTTTAAACTATGCTTTGCTTTATCTTTTTTGCTGGCAATTGATTTGTCTGAACTATGATTATCTGAAAAATATCATGTTTTCTTCAAAAATCTCCTCTTTGGGTTCTTAAAATAAACACATTTGCACTGTGCAGTAAAAGGGGCAAAAAAAAAAAAGAAAAAGAAAAAAAAAAGAAGAAGTTCCAAAAGAGGGGCAGAGAAAAAGTAAAAGTAAAAAACAAAAAATTTCGGACATCCAACTACTGATTTTTTTTCATTACATCTATTCCTTTTTTTTCATCACATTCTTGAATTTTTTTACCTATGGCTGCAGAAATCTGAGAGTTTCTTCCTCCCTTCAACAATTTCATCAAAAAAATCATCAAGTTGTCCAATGATATTCTCAATTCCAGTCCTTAAAATCCCAAAACAACCCTTCAAACTTTCAGCTCTTTCTCTAATTCCAACTTCTGATTCCCATTCTACCATTCCTTGTGAACCTCTCTCAAGTTCTCCCCTCAGTTCATCCATGGCAATTTTTGATCTTCTAAATTCATACAGAAGAATCCCTGGGCGACCCGAAATCTGATTGATCTCAGATGCCACCCTTTGTTGCAATCTCGCAGTTGAGATCATAAAGGCTGATCCAAAGAACAAGCACCCTTCATATCCCCCATTGGAAAATTTTGATTCAGGCCAGCAGTAAACCAATCCATAAAGTAATATCATCAGCAAAAGTGAACTAACATTTCTCATAGCATAAAGAACTCCTCTGAATCCATTGAATCCATTGAGTTTTGATTCTACAGAAACCTTTTCATCAAACCTTAATGAAAGCGGCTCAATTCTCGTCTCCATCAGGGACCTGTTTTCCTCCTCTAATCCCACAGCGTCTCTTCGACAGCCCGAAATAGCCCGAACAACCTTTTTTTATTATTTTTTTTTTCAAGAAAATCAACATATAAACACAAGAAATAAGAATCGTGAAAATTAAATACAAATATTTTGTGGGTTTTTTTTTTTTTTTTACCTGGCGTAAAAGCTGTGGGCTTAAATGGCCATGGCTATCTATAGAGGAAGTTATATTGATCCCAGTGGAATAGTAACTCTCCATGCCTGAAATCCCAGTTTTAAGAACACGACAAACTTCCCAAAGTTTTGAACTTTCATCCATGTATTCATCAAGCCATTTTTCACCCACTGGCAATCTGAGTTTTTGAACAAGAAGGATCAACTGAGTGTGAAAGGATCTTAGGAGGGATAAAACACTTTGAAGAAACTGAATTGACATAAAGTTATTAGACAAGAACACACGTTCAAGATCATCAATTCCTCTAGTCAAGTAATTATAGAAGCCATTGACAGAGTTGTTAGAGAAAGGATCCATCATAAGAAGGGAAAACAAGAGGAAACAAGTTGTGAGGAGGGTTGTATTTAAGTTGTAGGGAGGAAGTTGATGTTGATTCGCCACGAACAACAATGATAATATAGAAGAAGAAGAAGAGAGCAGGAAGAAAAGAATGAGGGAAGATAGTAGGTTTATTCAACATTCAAGTGTGTCTATTACAATTCAAAAACCTGAATTTATAGGTCCCAAAAAAAATAATAAAAAGGAAAATTGCAATAAAAGGAAAAAAACTAGAATTTCCTTTTTTTCAAAAGGAAACAAATTTATTGCTCTACCAAAACAAGAGAAAGCAATAATGAAAATTCGATCTTTAATTGATTTGATTTCGATTATGCCTAGAATATATTTTCCAATTTGCATTAGAAGTACAAGGGGTATGAATCATGGAAATGGAAGAACGGAATATCAATCTTGGAAGCTCAAATTTCTAAGGATGAAAAGGATGGTTGGCAGCAATGATGAGTGTTTCCTACGGAGGGGAAAGGATAATTGGTAATCTGCTTTCATTGTTTAATGGGTAGAAAGGAAATGAAAGGGGGAGAGAAAAGGAAAAGGAAAAGTAAAAAAAAAAAAAACTACCTTCCACTCTACCCCAACATAACACAGACATAGTGCTAAAGGGAGAGTTTGTGAGAGTGAAAGCAGGCAAATTTGAGGACACGAAAGTCTCATGAACTCTCTGCCAATTTCTTGCTTTTTCTGCTCTTTTTCCTTTCAAGAAAGTATTAGTATAATACTAGGACAGAAAAGAGAAGTGCGAGGGGGTAGAGAGCGGGGTGGGGATTGGTTGTTTTTAATATCTTGATCTGCAAATGTATTTGTGACGTTAGATTGAGATCATTGAGTTATTAAGGCTTGACCAGATTGATTATGTTGGGGTAATAAAAATTAGATCGTTATTTGGACAATATTAGACGGTATTAAAAAAAAAAAAAAGTTAAAATCTTGTTTATTATGGATGGAGATGAAGTGTTTCAAAATCTTGATTTGCAATGTCTTTGTGATGGTAGTTTGAGATCAATGGGTTGTAGTAAGGATTAATTATTATGATGGGGTAAAAAGAATTAGATGAATATTGTACAGTATCATATGATATTAAAGAAATAAAATAAGTTACAATCTTGTATGTTATACAGTTAGAAATGTGTTCACTACAATACACAAAACATATCAAGTACGAAAAAAGGACAAGAATTGAAGATTTGTCATTTTGATTGTAGTGATATTTGACTTCTTGTTTCCTCATCTTCTTCCTCGAGCTCCTGACTTTTACTTATCTACTTCCCCTCAATTCTATTGAAATTTGTGGGGTTTGTTTTCTCCTAGATAGATATATATTAGCACAATCTTCTTAATTCTCTTTTGTTTTGTTTTTTGTGGGATTTGAAATGATGGAATTCTTTGTATTCATGTTTTGTCCCTTTTTACTATGCAAAAACTAGTCTTTTTAGGCCACCAAAAAAACCCTTTTTCTAAGTCTATTTTATTCTTTTTATTTTTGTTATCCACTTGTAATTTTTTGTAGTAAAATGTATGATGCTCCCCATTGACCTTACAATGAACATTCCCACATGATATTTAAAGTATAGTGAACCTATGGAGTATGCACCCATCAATCATCTTTTGGGCTCTTATTCCCTTTTGGCTTTTCAAAGTTTCTCGCTCATATTTGATTTGCCATTTCCTAGTTATTACTTTCTAGGTTCTTTTTCGTCTCAAACAAAATCATGGTAAGTTATTTTTACCTACAAAAGAATGAAAACAATGATAGAATGTATAATTATTGTGCTCAAGAAACACAAAAGAAAACTATCTTATATATAGAATTACGTACTACGAAAAAAAGTTTCTATCCTAATTATTTAGTCTTACAAAAATAAATTTTGATAAATTAAAAATAGCACATAAAGGATTTTATATTTCTAACTACGACTGGTATATTGTACATTGACACACACTAACTAAGTTTAGGCAGTGATCATGAAGGGATTATGAGAGTAACGGGTAACCATATATATTCGAAGGAGATATATGCAAAAATATGGTTGAAGTAGAGTTACATGTCGTAACACAAAATAATTATTGTTGATAAGTTTCATTCATATTGCATCCCATTGAGATGATAAATAAGTCATTTACTATGGGATTTTTTTTTAATTTTTTTATAGTAAAAGAAATACAAAAGATACTATTTTATTTATAGAAACAACTGTAAATATGATTCTATACTAATTGATAATGATATAATTGACTTAATATAGAATTAAGTTTTGATAATAAAGAACCATGACAAGTAGTATATATTGTACATTACCACATTAGATATTAGAAAAGTTTATGTCGTTGTTCACCCCCCGGGGCACAGCTCAACTGGTGGATCAATCAACATTGGCTTGCTTTCAGTGGCAGGGTGGAGAGTTCGATTCCTGGTGGGAACCTGCGGCCAAAAATTTGGTATGGAGCAATCACTGTGGAGGAGGGTTTCTTGTGCGCAAAAGTGTACAGTCAATGGAGGGAACCCGTGATCCAGTTGAGGCATATCCCGTGATTTACCCCCTCCAAGGTTCTAAGGGCATGGGTCTTGAAGGTCCAGGATTTAGTTTGGTGTAAGTTGGGATACCTGGAATAAAAAAAAAAAAAAAAAAAGTTTATGTCGTTTCCTCAAGGGATGATGAGAATGACCACTTTCAAACCCAGCTCAAACATGCAATCGCCTAAGGTTTCCAGTTTATTGAAAGTCCTCAATTTTGACAATTATGTATATTGCCTTTGTTTTTTTTAATAATAATAATTAAAAATTAGAAACGATTTTTTATTTCGTATTATTAAAATTATAAATTGTTGAAAAATTTTAATTTATCAAAGAATATTTCACTAATAAATAAATTAGTAAATATATAAAATTAAATACTAACCTAAAATTCTATCAGAAATAAAATTAAAGTTAAAAAATAATTAATTGTTATGTAACTTATCTTTTGTTTATTAAAAAATAAATAATATAGAAAGAACAAAATTTTGTGAGTGACATTAATGGCTTTTTGTTATTGACTAAAGCACCATTGGTGATAATATTGACGAAGGTGTGTTAATAATATTATTGTGAGTAATTATGTGTGAATCACCAACGTATAACTTTTATCAGAACCACAAACATTCATACCAATGAACTTTCAATAAGCGATTATTCGTTTAATTAAATATTTTATTATTGTTCTCAAAAAAATTCCTAGCTATTTGGCTGAAAGCTCTTAAATTGTTTGAATCGTCTCTAATCACGTAAGTCTGATTGAAAAGGAATTATGTGTTGTAACATTAAAAGATATTATTGATAAGATTCATTCATACTGC